CGGCTGYCTCGAGTAGAGTGACACTAGGACCACGTGGAGTCCCTTTWGTTATCTCATTTGGGTTAGGGTTAGGGTTTAATTCTGCTGAATATAATTGAAAATAACTTTTGATATTCCGAAAAAAGATTTTGAAARCTCCGATGATGCAATCTGCTAGTCTCTCATCGAATAAACAAGGATTCTTGAAAGAAAGAATTCATAGTATGCTGTTTCTTGCGTGCTGAATTTACATGCTTTCAAATGTTCTGACATTACTTTCAATTCAGTCATATCATACACCRCGGCATTAAAATAGCTCAAAGCACAACAAAATTTGAAAGTTAAAGCTTACCTTTAAAGCACAAATAATGAGTTGAAAGTGCTTTTTGTAGCGATTTGGGTTGATTTATCATATATTTATTTTCTTCTTGACTTCTTCTTCTTCAACGCCCTAGCGAAAAGTCGTCTGTATCACGTGGTGTTGCGCAACATGAGAGCTCTTCGTTCGCTGAAAGTACAATCTCATGTAGCCGCAGCCAATGAGCATTGTAAGCTCAGCAGGAGTAAGAGACTAGTGCAAATTCGCATAGCCTAAGATGCAAACTTGATTGTTCATGACATTTTTTAATTATTAGTATATAATTAATATTTTTAATTATTTATTTCTTGAAATTTTTAATATAATCTGAACTCGTTTATTTTTTTGTCTTAGAATTTAAAATCTTGTCAAGAATTCGAAGTTATAGTGTACCATGTTATGAACTTGAAAAAACAGTATGGCGGCCTAGTTTTGTACTGCTATATTATTCGGATATAATAAATGTAAAGATATAGTAAATAAAATTTGACAGGTTTGATAGCTATTGGGATTATACACAGAGAATATACATTAGTAATATTCATCAACTTCAGTGAGTTCAGTGCTATTAATTATATACCGTATTTACTCGAATAGACGCCGCGGCGTTTATTTCATTTCCCGTGATCCAGCTGCGGCGTTTATTCAAAAACACTTTATTCAACAAGGTTTTGTAATAGCAAAGTTAAGGACATACGATAACCTTTTTAACAGGTAACAGTAGGAAATCTAATAAAATGTCATTCATAGTCTTACTTTGTTCTTTGTACAGTAACTTCGAGCTTAAACCTGTTGTYCTAAATGAAAATAAATTTTCATTGCTGGTTTAAATTTGAAATATACTTGTTTTTTATTATTTATAATAAGTTATTATTTCCTCAAATAAACGCCACACCGTAGATGCGGCGTCTATTTGGGGGCGTCTATTACTATTTTTAGTCCCAAGTTCGGCGTTAATTTATTTGAGGGTGGCGTCTATTCGGGGGCAGCGTCTATTCGARTAAATACGGTAATGTAAAAACGATCCATGAAATGTTTGCAGACTGTTTATGCATGAAATATTAAAAGTCTTGAGAAAAAATATTTGATATTTTTCCAATTTGTCRAACGAAACTGCTTTACATGAAAAAAAGAAATATACAATTAATTGTTTGCTAAAAAGAACCGAATTCTCGAAGAAWAATTTTAGATACATCTTTGACTTCATATTTTTTATCAGTTGCCGGGCTTAAATTTGTCCCAAAGCGATGTTTTATTTATCTTTGCATTTGAAAGCCGGTTTTGCGAGTAGTTTTGCTTCGACATCAAGCGGGATTCCTATGTTGTGTACACGAACGTATGTAAGTAAGGACGGACGGAAGTGAMGTAGTAGTCAAGMCATTAAAACCAACTCCATGGGTTACCAATTTTTYTTATAGTATGTTGCTATGCTCGCGCGGGCCTTCGGCCCAAGCGGGAGCTCCGCTATAACACATAACGACGACGAAATTGATTTAAAACACTCATTAATAATTCATAAGCTTATGGTCCAATTGGAGCCACCATACACGTCACGTGCATGAACCTTTATACCCGATAAAGTCCTCTTCATTAGTATTCAAGTGATTTTATATAAAGACACATGTGTCGTTATATAAAGACACATGTGATCTTTATATAAAGACCACTAGAATACTATGAGGATGACTTCATCAGGGATGAAGTATGCATCCAAGGTTAGATGAAGACATAGAGCTTCATCAAGGTCATAGTCAACCCTAAAGATCTTTGACTAACGTGCCTGTCTTTGCCTTGGCACGCAATATCCAACATGTGGGAGCTTCTATTGAATCTGGTTGCGCATGCCCATGACTTCAAATCTCTATCGAAGTATAAAAATCCATGTTCGTGACGTGTATGGTGGCTC